AGGGGACGGAATGGGGGGGGGAATCATGCTCAGATGAAGGTAGGAGGGGGGTTGGACTAAGGGACACCAAAGGGGATTGCAAAGGGAACCACAAAGAAAAACCTGCATCAAAAGGAAACCTCGTAAGAACGGGTTTACCTGGAATTTTCCCAACTCTTGCAAACTCTGAACATAGGAATCCATTGACCCCTCCAAAAGTGCGTTTCATAGTTGGAGCCTCGGACCACTCTGAGTGACAAGCATGCCCAGTGGTAAGTCATGGGGTTGCCCCGTCTGAGAGGGGGAGGCCTTCAAGAAAACAAGAGGAAGCCAAAAATCAGGAAACAGGCAAGTCCACCATGCAAACAAGCTTGCACATGTTTCTACAGAAACGTCCTTTTCGTGACAGGCCAATTCAGTCGGGGCTCGTCAGTCAAAGAGATCCAACTTGGGCCCAACAAGACACACCCGGATTGTCCTAGATTTTGTGGTTGCTGATTTCTTGGAAGCCTTCTAAGGACGCAGATTCGATGTGCCATAATATAGGTGTCCGATTTTCTGGGGCCAAGTCCAGTACATTTCATCCAATAAACCAGCTGCAGGAGCCTACAGGTATTTGGCAAACTTATGGTACTGCGCGTGTGTTTGGCTAATGTCCTGTGACAGTGAAGCAATCATGATAATGTATGTGTTTGAAAGCAGCTTAGACGGATGTTCCTTTCCCAAACTGACATGACTTAAATCAAACCAGGGGTGGCAAAGCAGGTTGGGCAAATAAGGGACAAGAATGCGTTTGGCTTGCTGTGGGTCTCAGGTTTCAGGACAATCCAACGAACCTGAAATTAAAGATTTTAAAGGAAAAACCCTGCTTTGAGGGGAAGAAACCTTGGGGACACTTAAGTAAAAGGCGGGCCTTGAGCAAACGCAGAGAGAGGATCTTGCAAACACTATTTACCCGCTTCCTCAAGCCACATGCCCATGTTTTGCGACAAACAATGCATCTCTCGGAGGCCGCCCAAGGCTCAAATATATTTTAACATTGCAGGTTGCTAGGTCCATTCAAAAGGCCATCCTGCGTCTGGCTCACGATTGGCAATTGTGCTTCCGAAGGGTCTAAATGTTCAGCACACTTCCGCAATCTCACAAAAAGTGATGTTGAGGAGTCTCTCATCTTTATGTGGGCGTGGATGCTTCGGCTCTCGCCTGTTGAACTGATCCAATGATGCGACTTCTCAGGAGGACCAAGGTTCTTTGGCATCAGCGCTGCACCGAATATGATTCCGATGCCATCGCACGACTGCTGTTTTGTTTGCCGCGCTGGCCCTAAGGGCTGCGGAAGCCGAGCTTCCGCATTACGCCAAGGCGCAAGCCGGTGATGTCACCCACCAAGAACTTGCTACCAGTGGAGAATCTGTGCAATGTGGCCATGTCCACCGCCACGGTCAAAATGTCGACCTGGAAGCGCGCAACCCGACGGGACAAGCTCATCTTCAGTCCAACACTGGTCACCGTTCCGTGGAACATAATTAAACGTGCACACCTTCATATTTTCCAGTTGCCCTGTGGCCGTTTCTACGGGGAGCCGCTGCAACGGAAAGCAAGGGTGGCAGGGTGCTTCGCGTTCTGGGAGGAACCAACTGGATGGCAGAATCCGGTAGGGGCCCGCCCTTGCAAGGCATCTTGACAAACCCCACATTAGACAGGGAAACAGAAGGGTTCCAAATGAAGCCGCAAATAGCCCAATAGCCCTTACAAGAACACATCAACACGGCCCATCGAGCCAAGATGCAAAGACATTGACCTGGAAGAAGTATAGCAAATACCTCCACAGGCCTCAGCTGCACCATCCAATCCACGGCTGGGGGGCAAACGGCAGGAGCAAATGGCTTCCCAACGAGCTTGGGTGTCTCCTGCACCCCTCTTTCTGGGTTGTTCAAAAGGTGGAGGTGGGTATTCCGAGTACTGATCCCTATATTTTTGGAGACCCGGTTTGGGGCTTCCCGGTTCCTCAGGCCCTTTCGCTGATTTGCAGCCCAGGCTCGTTCCTGCATGGCCTTCACGCCATGTCTCATCGCCACGGACAGAGATACGCAGACTGCCAAGACATTCCAAAAGACGTTCCAGACCTGACACCGGGCACCCCGAAAAACCCGCAGAAATCACAAACACATTGGTGATGGAATTCCCCTTGGATGTGGTGGGAACTGCTGCATTACCAGCAACAAAAACATACAAAAACAGCATTGCAACTCGATGGGTCATGCCAGCAATGCAAGAGTCAACAAATCCTCCTCATGGAAGTTTGCCAAAGCTCACTCTTGCACATCAGGGGTGCCAAATGAACCTGCGCCCGCGAATGCATGACTTGATTCGAGCGGCATGGCTATATTGTCAGGATTGAAAGATAAACTGCCATGCGTATGTGTCACTCAGGCTCTGGCTCCCAAGCAAGCGTACCACACGCACACGCCGAAGGGTGCATGATACCGCTGTGGCTGTGCCGGATCTGTCGGATATCTGTTGGCCCCTCGGATCAAACGCGGCAAGCGACAATGTCAAGCAAGTTGGACAAGGGGCAGCATCCAGATGCTTCCAACATCTCGTGGACTTTCCAGGCATCTGTGGCTTCCTGGGGTGCAAACAGCGTTGGACAGATGCAGTTCTCAGACTCGGCAACGGTCAACGCGGTGAGAGCGCTCCCTGGAACACAAAATGCACACACACAAACAAATACCAATCAATGCGAAGGCTCAAATACCGTAAAGGAGATGAACAGAACCGCCGTGCCCACAATCGAGAGCCGAGTCAAGAGCGAGTCGTCCGGCAACGGGGCAGAGACCAGCAATGCCTTGGCCAATTGCTTGCAGCCCGGCCGAGAATGCCTAGACTGCTATCGCACATGCTCTGTTTGGCTGCAACGCGGCATGCAACTGCAAAAGCAGGAGGCCAAAACGGGCGGAATGTGTCGGCTGGATTGACCTAGTGTCGGGGCGGGGGACCCTTGCTGTAATCCTGGAAGGTTCCCAGCACTGCATAGCATTGCTAGCTCTACCTTCATCGTAACATAGGTATCATTTACAGCAACGGGGCAGTTTACCGCTGCTCGTGAAAGGCGAAAAGGTGACCTGCCTGCAAATTCTACAATAACTCCATAACCTAAAAAAAGAGGGCCCCCAAGTAGAGCACCTTCATGAATTGTGAGCTCGTTTTACCCCAGTGAGCTCGCCATAAACTAGAGAGATCATTCACAGCAAACGTGCGGCTTACAGCATGATGAGCTAGACTTCGCTAGTTGCTTGCAGCGGACATCGCAGTGTCCAAGTCAGCATGCCGCCCTCAATAGACGCCTCACCTGCCTGACAGCTTAACATAGATTAACGCACATTGAAACATCCTGGCGGACAGCAGGGCTTGCAGGGGCAGGCAGCAAAGGAACTCCGTGCCCCGCCAGAGCGGTAGGAATTGCCCCCAATTCCCAAGTCCCAAATATCAGAAGTGGTTGAACACATCCAACCTCATTCCCACATAGCCCCACATACTCCCCAAATATTCCCATAGACCCCCGCCTATCTCCAGACTGGCTGGGGACCCAGCCTTAATGCGGCCAAAGTGCCATACCCACGACACAAACTGTCCAGCCCATGGTCAAGTCCCAGCCTCTCACATACCCCCAGGCAGCCAGCTCTAAAGTGAGCCTTGGCAAACGGACGGCTCGCGGAGAAAGAAACACAGGAGATGCAGTTCAAGCGAAAACCTAAACCCTGCAAAGGCAAAGGCCTTTGAAGGCTTCAGAACGCCTCTTGCAATCGAAAAACCAAGGTTTCAATCCACAAAGGCGGGTTCAGGGCAGTTGCGCCGAGCGGCCAAACCTGCACCGTGAAGGCAAGGATAAGGCCGGCGCTGGCCATAGTTCCGCTCACTTGCCACCGGATGGTCCGCAAGGCCCTTGGGGGCGATGGTTCAAACCAAGCACTTTAAGCAGCTCATTGCTCAAACAAGTAGATGCACAAATGTCAGATTCCTGTCAGTGTGGATCGAAAACAAGGCACGACTTGGGTTCAGAAAAAGACTCGCGTTCCCTTAAAGGGGTCCATGGCAACTTGCAGAAAAAACCCGGGGCTCATTGGTTGCTGCGTCGCCTGTTTTGATCTATTTTGCACCGTCTGACAGTGACAACAAACCCGGCCTCTGGCCATAAGTCAAGCGCTCCAGCAATATGTCCTCATAGCGTTGCTCCGTGGATGGCCTGCCATATCGGGCAGGCTCCACAAGGAAGTCGAGCGTGTTCCAAACAAACCCAGAAAAGGTCCTGGTGCTCTTGGCGAGGACCCCATCTACATAAGTACCCTTGTTTAGGCCCTTAGTTCGGCATGAGTTTGACAGAAATTGGTGGCGCCGCCCCTGCGGTTGCATCTAGAATCGCTGCAACACCTGACAAGTTAAACAGCAAGGAGCCAGCCCTGCTTTCACAAGTAAGGCGTCTCACACGGATCACAACAGCTTTCGTGACACACCAGAACTGGAGACCGAAACGAGAAAAACATACGACTGAAACGATACCGCGCCGCTCCGATACTCGTGAACGGACGCAGTCCATGGCATCTAGCCAGAGAATGCAGCTGCAGAAAAAAAGCCTCCGCTGTTCGACTTTGCACTTTGCTATGGTGCACAACAGGTTGGCATGCGCGGACTAAGAAATTGATCAGAGTGGAATTGTCAATTCTCAATGCGTGCTGTTCTTACTTTGAAATGGGAAGCGGCGCGGCGATGCTTTGTTCAGCCAGGCGCTGCGGCGCTTGAGCCGCATACATCTTGCCACTTGAGGTAACCATCTGTGCTGACCAGTCACCCGGTTTTGGGTTGGAACCATTTTTTGCACACGTACATCCAATGTGGATCACTGGGTCCAGCAATGAAATTAGTCGTGGGCTTCGAGGGCACACTCTGCTTTGACCACCTTGCAGGGTAAGGGGGCGAAAGACCAAGTATTAAAACTTACGAATCAGCTCTTGGCTTCCAGCTATTCCATGCAAGCTGCCGACGGGATGCACAAACCTGAGCTGAGCGATGCTTGAACTTTGTCCGGCCAAAAATGCAAAAACAAATGTGATCCTTGAGCCAAGTATCACCAACAAGGCCCTATCATTGTACTCTCTAGAAAGTAACCCCGCAAGTGGCAGCCATGTTTCATGGGCAGCTCCGCTGACTTTGACCCCGATTCTGCGAGATGCAACGGGAATCGCCTCCAGGCCGACTGAGTCCAGGGCAAGTTGGCCTTGCTTCGGAAGGCGCGGTTGCACGCGACGAAGTTGGAACCTTGCGCCATGCGACTTGCGACAGCCAGGCCGACCGTTTGCCTCTGAGGTTGGAACCCTCGGTGGTTGTTTTGGCTTTCCTCGAAACAGCTACCTTCCAATCCACTACATGCGAAATAATTACCATCAAATTGTAAAGTGATAAGGCAAGCAATAGCAAATCAATTGCAGGCATGAATCACTCGCAGGACCACCGTTTTGACATACAGGCGTACCTCACCCTAGCTCACATCTAATGATGGAAAGTCCAAGCAGATGGCGCTTGGGGCCGTTGATTCGAATAAAGCAGAGCGTCCCGAAATCCGACGGTGCCAGTCACATGCTTGGACACTTCCGGCTCGCTCCCTCCGCCCCTGCCTTGCCGGAAGCTCACGGACAAGGCGCCACCTGCAACCCGTCAAACCATGCCCTTGTGTCCCAAGACCGTGGAAAGATGACTTACTTTAACCCAGGCATCTGGTGGTTTTGAGTTAGCCTGACGCGCGGGGGAGGGTCTAGGATGCTCTGATTGCAGTTTATTTGCAAATGGCACGGTCTCCACTGTGAGGTTCCGTGCCATGACTTCACCATGCCAAGCGGCGTGACTCATCGTGACTCCATGGCTGTTGCTGACTGCTGACGCATGATCTGAACATTCATTCGAGCAAAGCTGTGTGACATGCAATCGGCTAAGGTTTCGACAGTCTGGGGCAACGTCTACAGTCCAGGCTTCCTCTTCCGTGGTTGGCAACTGGATGAAACCATCCTGGCGCGTAGTCTCACAGCCATTCTAGAGCTTGGATCGGCATTGCCCCTCTACTGCCTAGAAAAATGGACAAACAATCTTGCTGTAGCGCAGTCAAAGCGCGATCTTAGATTCTCTTGCGGTTGCCCTTCTGCCCTTGCAACTAGTCCTCATGACACTTGTCACCCTTTGCACAGCAGAAACCAAAGGAAGCTCTGGGAGGTGCAAAGAATGCATGGGGTGCAAAAAGTCTGCCAAGAAAATTTAAGACCTTGGCGAACATGCACAACGAGTGACTATTTTGACTGCTGCATGCGCAGCTTCAAACACCATTCAATCAAAACGACTTGTGGGCTCTTGCGGTATCCTTTGAAAGCTTGAAAGCCTATGACTCGACCTCCCATAACTACCAACAGGAACCCATCGCGGCATGAAAGCAAGTACACAAAACTCACCACTGAGACTTCGTACATCGGGTGCTGCATGAAGGGCCTGGATAAAGTTCCAACCCCTTGTGCCTATTTCTAAAGTAAGGTCCGGATGTGCATTTCCGATTCTCAGCTTCCTGATTCCTGCCTCAGGCGCCTCTGCCAGAGGGATGGCAAAGGCTGACCTTGGCACCGAGAGCAAACTGAAGGACAAGAGAACAGGCGAACGGCCGACGTTGTGAAATCACAAGGTAGGCTGCCTCCAAAAAGACAGCTCGAACAAGTGGAGCGCCACACATTGGCTGGGAGAAGATGAACACTCTGTGGCAAAGAAAGGTAGTCATTCATGTTCACTGTGCAAGGCAAGGAACCTGTTGCTAAGGGCCCTTTTTTCATCCCGATTCGTGCCTGAGCGACTGAAACATGCTGCTTACGGCTGGGCTTCATGGGGACAAGCCATGCAAACTTACAAATCAAGCAGGTACCAACTGTTGCAACGGCCCAGATAAGATCGGGTGCGCTGTTCATTCTGCACGAATCGAAGCCTTGTTTTGGTGGCTCACCTAAGTATAGTTGAGAAGCAACGGAAACACACAGACACACAACAGGACAACATCTACATCGCTGACTAAAATTCAGGCAACAAAAACAACGACATACGCGGCTTGCTGCGCATCATCACGCACCCAATAATCTCCTCCCCCTATTAATGAATGACCCCCATTAATAATAAATGCAAATCTGGGCCCGAGACCAGATTTCCACTCCGCACATTTTTTCCATTGCGCCAATACTAAACCAATACTAAAGTCTTGGAATCCTTATTAGGGGCCACTTTTAGCAAGCTTCCAGCCTCACTTTTCAAAAGGTGGGTTCCTTTAGTTATTGGGGTGTCCCTCAAAAGAAAACATGTCCCCAAAAGCTGTCTAGCTGCGACTGTCTCTCTCCCGTGCATGCTGGCTAATTAACCTGCCTGGCTGCAAACAAACAACCAGTAAACTGGTAAACAAATAGAATGATACATCAAATTTCCTTATTAAACCGCTTACTCGCGGACCTTACAATTCAATCCATTTCCTCCAAATCCTATGTGAACCCTCACATTGTTGGAAAAGCAAAAACACCCAACCCCCAAAAACCCAATTAATATATATATATATATATATTTGGGTGGATTTATTTATAATAGGGGAGGGGGGGGGGGCGTATTTATTAATAGGGGGAGCGGATTAGAAATTGTTCGATGGGGAACACTCTCAAAACTGGGTCACGGACACAAAACTGCATCTACATGATGTCCACCAAAATCTCCCCCCCCCTACTCCCCGGAAAATGGTTCGCAACATCCCAAATGGTCTGCAGCAAATTCACACATACACACTCCCACCAACTAACCGTGAAACCACCAGAGGGTCCCTTAAGGAAAACGGGCCAGGGTCATCCATCTGCTATCTGCGAACCTGTGGCACCCCACGCTCCAGCAAAGGCATCGCTACATAGCACGAGCCCAGACCAGGGTCCGTCGTGGGAGCCCTGGGTTGCACGATGACTGGCTCAAGATTGGCAGGGATTGGTCTTTGCATCTGTCCACTTTTCCCTGTCTAATTCTGCGAATCTCTCATCTTTCTATCTATGCAAGGGTGACGAAATTTGCATGGCATCAACATCCAACGCTTGCTCCCATGCTCCCATGGCCAAGGTTGGGAGAACAACTGCCAGGTGCGAACCATGGGTTTCACATTGGTATGTGCAGTATTCCTCAATTGAGGAAAGAAAAAAGAACCACAGGTGTAACATCAAATTGAATTGATTCACTCGGTAAACGCCTGCACTGACTTCTGGCGCTGCCGACGCTTCTATCAGCATCAATAAGATTCAATAAGGCTTGGTTGCCTGCTACTGTGGAATTGCGATTCTAAAGGACTTGCCATCCACCTTGCTAGATGTGTATGCATACACATTGACTGTTCACATATGCCCACACGGCGAGGAAAGCTTCAGGGGCCATTCTGGGATTCTTCTAGGTCCAGCAAAGCCTAACATCCCACAGAACCAACATTTGCAGGATGGCATGAAAGAAGGGGGGAGGAGGGGCCTTTCTTGTTTCAGTTGAAAGGCCGCCAACATAATATTTTTTTTCTCTAAGAGGTGTCCACAGCGTTTTGCCTCATGCATCAGCTGTAATGCAAGCAGTGCTGACACGGATTGAGCTTGCGGCCTCCAACGGCAATGGGCGGAATCGCAGGTGCGCCGGCCTGGTTGAGTGACAATGGCAGGCACGTATATGTTTGACTCTGCACATGTTTTCCGAGCTTGGCTCCGACAAAAACAAGCTGTTTTGGAGACTGGGAAAGTTACGGCTATCATCTCAGTAAGCGACTCGAAAAGAGGGTTACATTACCCAGGGCTGCCTTCGTAGTGGCATAGCATCCCCTGCCCCTTTCTGAGAAAATGACCCCACACCTTTTTCCCCAAGCGCCTCCTTCCATGCACCCAATCACCTCCCTTCTATACACTACTTGGGGTGGGAATTGCTGAACCCTCTTATCACATCGGATTTGGCGCATTCATCACGAGAATCGGGCCGCCGCAGTCCATCAATGCTCCAGGGTGCCCTGCGTGTCAGCGTCGCTGATCCAATGTGCCTGCGCGGGCACAAACATGCAACTCATCCCCGGTCTGGCCCCCTAAATGGATCCCCTGTTTTCAGAATAGTTTCCTGGTAGGGGTCCTTGGTGTTGACACATTTCCACATGGGCTCCAAGGCGGTGAATGTCTTGCAAGAGAGACGAAAAGGTGCGGAGACAAAACTTACCACTGTCTTCCACGTGGGGCAGCCATTGTGTTCCAGGAAAGCAAATCAAAGAGACTTTGCTCAACACCGAGCTGTCCTTCCCGGAAAAGATCACAGTTGTCAGCACCATGGCGGAGAGTGCCAAGTCTGTCGGGTGAAGAAGTGCCCCATTTTGAAGCTGCTTGGAGAGAAATCAACAAGCCACAAACTTCACCTATCTCCCACATTGGCAGTTCTGACGCCTCTTGAGACTGGCCGCTGGCGAGGCGCAGCAGCCTCCCCTCCAGGCACCTCGGGACTCGAGTCGGCAAATTGCAAGTCCAATTTCGGGAGGTTGCCCAACCCGACCTCCCAAGAGAAGCCGTTCTCGCGGCAAACAGACACAACTGTGGCCAATGGGAACCGCCTTTCATACATTAATTGAACAACTGACCAATTCTGTCGCCAAGGCGTCCGCTAAGGTACATTTCCCACAGACCATGTCATCACGCCAGCAACCTAGCTGCCAGTGGGAGCATCTGGCGCGTACTCCTTGCATAACAATCGATGGAAACGCCTTCCAATTTCTGACTAGTTGCAAAGGCCCGGAACTTAAAAAGGCAAACCTTTAGCCAAATCGGCTGTAGTCAAAGCCGCAAACGTGTTTTAGAGCCTCTTAGGCAAGCCAAGGCATGTCCGGTCGGTTGATCTGGTGCCAAGGCCCTCACAGCTCCAAGTCGCGATCGGAGGCGTTGGTCAACACCAGCCGGGGGCGCAAGGTGAAAACCTGGCCGCCAGCACAAAACTCCATACCTGTGGTTTGCGGGCCCCAAGAAGCGAGGTTGGTCGACAAAAAACATTATCTCCGTGAGGAAGATCGAACCCCAGATTGTTTTGTGTTTAACCTGTTTGATCTGTTGGGCCCAAACAAAATTCGACAAACAGGCTTGGGGATGAGAAAACAAGGTCCCCCGAAAACCTTCAGCGAGGGGAAAAGACAAGCAAGACCAGCTGATTTGCAAGGGGAACCGTCCAAACCAACTGGCAGAGGTGATTTTTCAACTGGCCCCAATGTAAGCTTTGAGGGACCCTGAATAAGTAAAGGGCACGCCGTTTCAAGAATGACCAGTCATGGGGTTGAAGGAAGGAACAAATAAGGGTGCCATGCAAGGTCTGAGTGTGAGACCCCTGGCTGATACCTTCCCCAACCTGGTTCCTCTGTTCCTTGAAGGTACGCCAAAAAAAGGCAGCCTGTGATTTCTCACCAATTGCTGAGTTTCGCAGATTCGCCCATCCGCCGCCCAGCTTTCGGCCATTTTGGAATCTCTGCCGGTGTAGTCGGGCAATGGCCCCACACACAGGTGATGAGCACCCTGTTTTCCAACACAGCTTCTACCCTCCATGGGATGTAGCTCTTTCTTGGGGGATGCCAATCCCTACCACTACTTCGACCTTGGCAAACAGGGCCCCAGTGAGACTGGACGCCCTGGTCACTCCAGCACGCCCATGGCCTCGCGGCAGGTGGCGCGATCCTCGAAACACCCGCAGCTCGCTCCATACTCCGCAGTGGCGTCAGCATCTCGGCACCCCGTCAGCACGCACTGCTGAAGCCGGAAGCACACAGTGAGCCGGTGGTTGCCATAATCCACGCGGAAAAAGTTGCCCTGGCCATCGAAGAAGCTGTCTGCTGCAGTTGTTGGAATAATGGGCAAAGACAGGACTTCTTGCTCTGACAACTGCACACTGGTGCCAGAATCCACCCGGAGGACCCTACTATTGCCATAATCCACAACGTAAAGGCTTTGGTTGAAGTGAATGCCGGCTGGAAACCGCAGCTCTGAAAGTCCGGCGCCCGGTGAACCAGTGCCGAAGAGCAGGCTGCCCACAGAAGCGCCGTCCTGCCATTGCATGATGCGGTGGTTCAAGGTGTCGGCGATGTACCTCGGTCAACATTCCGGAAAAGACAAAACTAACCATGTTTTCATCCCGGCTTTTACCAATACTTATTTTGGAAAAGGGAAAAACAACAGGATGTTACCAAGTGTTGACTCAGGTACAGCGAGCCAGGGCTTCCTGAGACATACTGCGCCCCCAGCGGGCCATTTAGCTGGTTCAAGGCATTTCCGGGCCCGTTCCCACCCGCAAGCACGCGAAAGCTATGGCCAACCCAGCGGACCACAACAGCGCGCATGGAATCCACGATGATGAGGTCGTCCTTCTCGTCCGCCGTGGCACCCAAGGGGTACCCGCCAGGGCCTCAGCCGATCGAGCGACAAACCAGGTGCTCCAGTGCTAAACATTCAATTGCTGAGACAAAGCTCGCCCAAAAGACCAAAAACCCGCAAAAAGCCTTCCTACAGCTGTTGTGTACTTGTGCTCATGACTATGCAGCAACAAGGGTTCGTTGCAACTGAGGAGCTCATCAAACCCTGGCTGCACCACGCACTGAGCAAGCACGTGGAAGAGGAGCTCAGCTCCACTCGCCCGCACACGCAAATCTGCTCTGGCAAGGCGTCCTCGCAGCTGCCGTCGACCACGGAGGTCGTGACCTGAGGGGCTGTCGTCATTAACCTCCTGGACCCCTCGCTCCCTTTATTTGGGGCTTGGGGATTTAACAAAAAAGAAATCAAAACAATCCCTCAACCTGCGGCTTTTAGGGGCCCAAACCTGCCAAATCCTATCAAACTCCGGGAACTCAAATTCGGGTTCCCAACATTCCCAACATGCCAACCGCCCCCCCCCCCCCGAAGCCCCACCATCACCCCCCCCCCCACCACAACCCAACCCCCAGCCCGGGGCCGACCTGGCCGGGCTTCAGGGCCAGGCAGGCGTCCACCTCCGGGGAGCTCTTCACACAGCTCCGGCCCCGCGCTCCGCAGAAGGCGCTGCAGGTCCCCGCCGTGAGCGCCCGGAAGGCGCAGGTCTCGGGACCCGCCCAGCTCCGCAGATCGATGCACTGGTGCCCCGCCATGTTGGAGCCTCACGAGGGGGATTAGATAGCTGAAGTTCTGCTGCCCATGGGATGAGCCTGATAAAGCAAATCACATACTGAATATTTCTATAATTATGAATACATATGTACATGTACATATGGTATCTACATATATATATATATTATACAGCTGTATACTACATGTATACATACTACACATGTCTACGTACATACATATTGCAGACGTGAGTATGTCTTTTTTGAGGCAAGGATTGCCCTTCAGGGTCGGTTGCAACTAGCCTGGATATAAAAAATATCCAAGGCCAACTGAGCTTGCGATTAGCACAGT